GAAATCAGCGTAATCTTATATTTTATATATCTTATGCCTTTAAATCGTCAGTCACACCAAACGTTGTATTTTTCCATAAATTAATTATGTTCGAAAATTTATGATTAAAACTTGGTAATCTTCAAGTACAGTCTCTACTGTACTACGAATGGGGAGCTACTGAGCCTTCTAAGCGGGATGAATGATTGTTTATAACGTTTTGCTCCAGTTAAATGTCCTGAAACTGTTTCTATCAGTGCTTCTTTTTTTAATAATTTTCGTACTTGCATTTCAGTATTATTATTGTAACTTTTTTCCGGTATGTAATTATGCTTTTGAATATTCTTTTATGCAGGAAATTAATTCCATGATCTACTTGAGAACTCGCTGAGCATGGCAACAAGCGTTGGTAATTTGTACAATAAAGTGATAATTTGTATGTGAATAAATGTTATACTAGTATACTTTGTTCCATTTTTTCGATGACGTGTCCTAAAATAATAATAATTTGTTTCTATATTGATTTTGCAAAATTATAAATGAAATTGTCAAATTTTGAATGGTAAGCTGGTGTTGATCTGCGAATAATAGCGACAGCATGACACTCTAGTGTGGTGATGCTAAAGTGCGCGTCTATGCAGTCTGATAGATGAGTTACGGATCGACTTTCGAGGATACCACGCTTATTTTTGGTTTCAAGATCGTTGTCAGTGGCACTTGACAGTGTGTGAAGGTTATTTATGTTTTTTTGGTTCCCTAACAGTTTTAATTAGCCATTTCTTATCCAATTTGTTATTGGATATTATGATATTATTTGTGATGCCGTGCTGAGTTTCAGATATACCAGATTAAACATTACATTATTTCTTTAAAATTCCTTTTTCAGTTATTGTCCTTTCGGTATTAATATTCAGTGCTTTAAAAATTTTTTCTATTTAGGTATTACACAGCACACTGAAAAAAATTGCAAAAAATGTCTGCAATAAACGTTGAAGAAATTTTGGAATATAAGGTGATTATTTTATTCAGTAAATCTGTTTGCTGTTATGGCTCTGTTTGCCATTCATCACATTTCAAAATAAGAGGTATTTATGTCCGATCTTCATTTGGTTCTCTGGATAGTAACGAAAAATTTGGAATAACGCCAAACAGTACTAATGGAGGGCGTAATGGACTATGGATATGGAAGAATAAATTAGTCAGCCTGAAACAGATCAGTAAAAAAATATTCCTGATGCGTTGGTTGAAAAATTTCTAGAACTGGGCCTATAAATTACTCGAATTACTATTTTTATATTCATTGGTGCGTCGGAAATGGCGAAAGGTGTTTCGGTCATACGCTGGCTCTAGATAAAGACACAGGTTGAAATAGTATTATCAATCTGGACAAGATTAGAAACTGTTCTAATGATTCTAGTATGATCAGTACAACAGATTTTTCATTCTGAACGATCTACTTTTATGGCACCGAAATGAAAATCAAAAATTGTGAGCCACAAGGTGAAGAGACGAGCATTCAACAGCTGTTCACGTGGAGTTCTGTGAGGGTGCTTGCATCCTGACAATTTTTACCTTGGAAAGGAAGTAAAACAAAAGTTTGAGACCGTTTAAATGTCGCTTTTTCTTACGTTTT